GTGGCAGGGGGTTGGAGCTTCGTCATCCTTGAGGTCCCTTCCAACCCTGGCCATTCTGTGATTCTGTGAAACCCGGGGTGGTGTTTAGAGCAGAGCCCCACTCTTACGATGAAGGCACAGCCCAACCATCATCCGCACCTGGAACTCCAGCATGGATTTCCCCTTGTTGGACTCCAGCATGAAGCGGAAGGCGCCGATGCCGGTGTTGGGGTTATCAGCCTCCTCCCGGTTGCCCTGCAAAGAGAGGAGAGCTGAGCCGTAAGGAACGGCAGCCACACGACGACCCGTGAGCTGCAGAGCTGCCCGCACATCTGCAAAACGCAGCGCCTGCAAACAAAGCTGGCAGCACACGGAGGGAGAATGGGGAGGTTTGAGGCGGCGCAGAGCCCGGCAGGAGGAGCCCACGCCTCACCGGGCGGCTCTCCGTGCGAGGTCGGGGCTTCCACCGTGCACAGCCTTACGTTAAAGGACGCCAGGGCTTCCGAAACGCTCTTCTCGATGAACTCGTCCGTGATCCTCCGTGAGGGATGCTCGTTAAACACGGAGTTCATCAGCGCGATCTTAGCGGCGCTCCTCCGCGCTTCGGCCTTGGTGGGACAGAACTGAGGGGAGAAAAAGTGCTGTCAGAACTGCAGGGCTGCAGCCCCACAGCAGCACCAGGACAGCACCCTCCATCCATCCATGCATCCATGCATCCATCCATCCATCCTTCCATCCCACAGAGCCCTTCCATCCATCCTTCCATCCATCCACCCTTCAATCCTTCCATCCCACAGAGCCCTTCCATCCATCCTTCCATCCATCCATCCTTCAATCCATCCATCCATCCATCCATCCATCCATCCATCCATCCATCCATCTATCCTTCCCACAGAGCCCTTCCATGCATCCATCCCAGAGCCTCTCCATCCCAAAGCCCTTCCATCCATCTCACAGAGCCCCTTAATCCATCCCGCATAGCCCCTCCATCCCACAGAGCCCTTCCATCCATCCTGCAGAGCCCCTCCATTCCACAGAGCCCCTCTATCCATCACACAGACCCCCTCCATTCCAGAGTCCTTCCATCCATCCATCCATCCATCCATCCTTCCATCCTTCCATCCATCCATCCAACCATCCATCCTTCCATCCATCCATCCTTCAATCCATCCATCCATCCATCCCACAGAGC